GGACCCTTTAAGCGCAGCCCTCGGCTAGCCTGAGACAGCATCTCCACGCTCTAAGTCCTCCTCTGATGCTCTGCCGGCACTGCTTCCGGCCATCCTTAAGCCCTGTTCAGGGTCCACTTAATGTGGACATGCTAGTTCGAATTAGCAAAACGCTAATTCGAACTAGTTTTTAGTTCTAGACGCGTTAGTTCGAATTAGCTTAGTTCGAATTAACGCTGTAGTGTAGACATACCCTCAGGAAGAAGGTTTCCCAGTTGTTGATTGCTTGCAGAGATAGGCACTTCCCTGGCCATCCTTAAGCCCTGTTCAGGGTCCACTTAATGTGGACATGCTAGTTCGAATTAGCAAAACGCTAATTCGAACTAGTTTTTAGTTCTAGACGCGTTAGTTCGAATTAGCTTAGTTCGAATTAACGCTGTAGTGTAGACATACCCTCAGGAAGAAGGTTTCCCAGTTGTTGATTGCTTGCAGAGATAGGCACTTCCCTGATGCCTGAACTTGGTTGCCTTTCTCCAGCAGAGAAGGAGGGCAAGGATACACCCCTATCATCAGCGTCTCCTGTTGGCTAGCGTAGGTGGCATCACACTCAGTGAGTTGGCTGATGTGGAACGCAACTTTTGTCCTGGCCTGCAGCCACACTCACCCACAGATCTTAGTGGCCATGGTTCACTATTCCCAGTCAATGAGAGCATTGGGAAGTGGTGAAAGGTTGGCTGCTGCTTCCCTCTGCTCCCATTGGCCGAGAATGGCAAACTGTGGCTGCTGGCAACTGGAGTGGGCGGGGATGGGGGGGGGAGGGGAAGGATGCCTGCAGACTGTCAACATAAACAAAATGTCCCATGGCCTACCAGCAGATTACCCTGAAGGGCTGCATGTCAAAGGTTGCTAACCCCTAGCCGCAGCCTTTCTGTGTAACTAGGCCTTATCCTTCAAATTTTATTTTCAGTGGGTTGCATGGGCAGCAGGTGAACCATCATCTTGGGTTAGGCTAGCCCCCAGCTGGCCTATGCCTCCCTGCTTGAGAACCAACCTGCTCCTGTATGTTGAGTAAGCAGCACACAGTCCTCTCTGTGCTCCCAAGGGCAGTTTGTTCTAGTGTTTAACCACCCTGGCAGTTAGAAAGTTCTTCCTTATTTCTAACCTAAACCTCCCTTGCTGCAATTTAAGCCCATTGCTGCTTGTCCTATCATCAGGAGTTAAGGAGAATTATTTTTCTTCTCCTTAGATTCTTGAAAGTTGTTACCATGTCCTCTCTTAGCCCTCTCTTTTCCAGACTAAATACAGCGGCTCCCTAAGTTACGACCACCTCCACTTATGACCTTCCGCACTTACAACCAAAGTGGTCGTAAATGCAGATCAGAGTTACGAACGGCGATCTACGCTTACGAACAGCGTGGTCACCATGTAACTCTATGGGATCTGAGTTACGAACACTTTGAGTTACCGACCAAGTGTTGGTCCATAACTTGTTCGTAACTCGGGAAGCGTCTGTAAACCAAAGTCTTTAAATCTTCTCTTGTAGGTTATGTTTTTTAGACCTTTAATTATTTTTGCTGCCTTCTAAACCTTGTCCACATCTTTCCAGAACAGGACATAATATTCCAGTTGAGTCCTAATCAATCCAGAGTACAGTGGAAGAATTACTACTTGTGTCTTGCTTACAGCACTCCTGTTAACACATCCCAGAGTGATGGAGCTTTTTTGTTTGTTTGTTTTGCGACAGCGTCACACCATTGACTAATATTTAGCTTGTGGGCCATTATGACCCCTCGATCTCTTCCTGAAATTTTTCTTCGTAGGCAGTCATTTGTATGTAACTAATTAGTCCTCCTTATCCTCCAAAGCATTTGCAACCCCTCCCAGCTTGGTATCATTCACAAACTTTAAAAGTGTATTCATGATGTCACATCTAAATTGCTAATCAAGATCTTGAACAGAACTAGCCCCAAAAATATAGAACTAGTAAGCTCCCGGCCCCTGCCCCCGGGTTAGCTATCGGGTTGAGTCAGCCCTAACATCTGACCTACAATTATAGTAGCTTTAATGACTACTAGGTAATGAAGAGATCTTGGAGTAGCATTGAATGATAAGCCTTGCCAGTAAGAAGCACAGTGTTAAGTAGCAAAATTAATATGAAAGCACCCAGAAGATCTACTTTGTAAACCTTTATTATGCCCTATATTTATTTTCTCTTTCTTAGTGGGCTCTATTGACATGTTTGGAACTTTAAAAAAAGTCCATTTATTGAGCTTGGTTGTAAAATTTCTCAGCCAGTTACTACCACCTGCTTTAGTTGTCTGTTAGATTTCTATTAATTCTTTAATATTCTTTTCTTTTAGGCTGCCTCATACGGCTGTAGAAAGAAAAACTGTACTAGAAACTTGTCCAGTGATGCCACCATTTTTATCTTTATTGAAGTAAGTTCAAATTACGAATGGCAGTGTGCTAAATGAAAGGGAGATTTTGTTATCAACACATGTTAACCACTAATGTTTTTCATCTTCGCTACTAGATCACATGTGACCCTTGGGATCAGATTCCTGAGTATACACCAGTTGCTTTGTGCCACTCTGTCAACATAAATCAACTGTGTGGTCACTTCATCATCATGAGGGCAGCACAAAACTGCCAGAGCATACTTCTGAATCTGTGACACTCTGTACCTTGGGGGAGCCACTTATAACTCCCCTCTCCCACCACCCATATATCTCATTTTATTATAATCATGATCTTGCATATAAAGATTCTTTATAAGGTATTGGGGAAAGGATTATGATCTTCTGAAAGTAATTTATATATAAAAATAAGTGTTAGTGATGCGCGCGCGTGTGTGTGTGTGTGTGTGTATATATTTATATATATATATATATGTGTTAGTGAAAACCATACAACATATTTCTTATAACTTCATATATCTTAGAGGGAATATTCCTGATGATTTTAGTGGGCATTGGTATGGGCTCTGAAGGCCCAAGATTCTGTGGCTGTAACTACCATTCAGTGCCATCCAGTCTATTTTCAAGGCCAAAAGGTGTTCATCCAATCAGGAAACAGGATTAGTTACATCATGTTAATTCTAGCTACCACAGCTCAAGTTTGTGAAAATGGATGAACTGGGTGAACTGTCTTATCAGTCCATAGAGAGAAGAATAAACTAAAATTTGTTGAGTAAATTTTTGAACATCATACACAGTTGGGGAAATTATCTGCTTATGGACACCGTTTTGTATAAAAAATACTGGATAAATTTAGTCTAACCTATCAGGATTCGGCTGCATATTTCTGGTTTTTTTTATTTTTTTTAATGGAAGCATACTTGTATTCTTGAAACTCACATCACATTGATGATGGAGCTCCAATTTGTTCTGGAAGCCAGTGCATCAAATGAGTAAAAATTAATTCCACCTTTAATGAAATATGTGAGTTTTAACTTCTGGATTTCCATGAACCAAAAAAGTGAGTTACTGGTGGTTTACTTTCCATCTTCCCTTTCTGCACAAGGGATGTTTGATTAGCCTCATTATAACACAACATCTCCTACTCCATTTAAGGAGGCAAAATTAGATGTATTCTTGTTTGGTTGTAACTTGAGAAGTAAAAGGGAAGAAGAATTAGAATGCTGGACCATATCCTGGGCTGGTATAAGTTATCATAGCTCTACTATGGAGCTGTTTTACAAGAGCCAGATCCTCAACTTATGTCACTTGTTGAATAGGAAGAAAAGATTTTGAACTTTATGGTACTGGGCACTAGAAAGAAACCAGGTACATTCACTCTTCACAGAGTGAAAAATTAAGAACCCCTCTGCAGGGCATAAACACCATCTGCCTCCAAACAGTAGAGTTTATTACTAATATTAATAATTCCTATTAAGAATATTGACTTTTGGGGTTTGGTGTCATATCAAAGTTAGCCTGTTTATTTCAGATAACATAATCTGTTTCCATGATTTTCAATTCAGTATATTTTTAATTTGATACAGCATGATGTTTGTCTTAGGAAGTAGCAATATTGACTCATTAAAAACTATAAAGGAAGTATTTATTCTGCAGTCTTCTAATGAAAAACTGTCCTGAAGTAACATTTCCTTATGCACACTGCTCTGCCTATGTGTCTTAAGCAAAATGCAGGACAATGTAGCACTTTAAAGACTAACAAGATGGTTTATTAGATGATGCGCTTTCGTGGGCCAGACCCACTTCCTCAGATCAAATAGTGGAAGAAAATAGTCACAACCATATATACCAAAAGATACAATTAAAAAAAATGAACACACATGACTTGTCCTTTTAATGTGTGTTCATTTTTTTTAATTGTATCCTTTGGTATATATGGTTGTGACTATTTTCTTCCACTATTTGATCTGAGGAAGTGGGTCTGGCCCACGAAAGCTCATCATCTAATAAACCATCTTGTTAGTATTTAAAGTGCTACATTGTCCTGCATTTTGCTTCAACTACCCCAGACTAACACGGCTACATTTCTATCACCAATCTGGAGGGGAGCTAGAGCGTTAGTGTGGGAACCTTGAGTCTCGAGGGCCACACTCACGTGAGCTGGGGTATTAGGTTCCTCACCCCTGCTTTAAAAACAAAACCTCTTACTCTTAAAAATCGATCCCCGTATCTCTGGTCGGACCACCTTCACGCAGGTCCTCCGGGATGGAAAACTGCAGCAAACTGTATGAACAGAAACAAACAGAAGCCCCAATCGCAGCTGGAGGTGGGGCGAGGCTGCCCCAGCAGGGACACAACGGGGCAGCCGCCCTCCACCAGATCAGGAAAACAACCGCGCCATTCCCCGGCCAGCAGGAAGGCGAGTGCCGCTGCAAGGCTCCGCAAGGGAGGTGGGCGGCAGAGGGGTGTTTGTGCGCGGCCGCGCGCCTTCAGCGGCAACTCCCCTGGTGCCCCCTTCTCTAGTCCAGCCAGGCCTAAAATGCTCAGTGCTTAGAAGGCGGGTGGGGCTTACAACTGTTAACACTGGACTCCCTCCTTAAGACAAAGTTAATCAATTATTTCTCCATTGTCATTTTAATGCTTTGTTGTTCTTTGAGTGATGATTGCTATTGAGGGTTTAATGAATGTCCCGAGCTGGAGAATTTGTTAGTAGACGTGGCCTTTGATCTGCCCCTCCACTCTTGCTTCACCTCATGGTACCCTCCAAAGCAATAAAGGGTAGGGCCTGACCATGCCTTCAGTTCCTTTACACTGCCACGTGGTCCAGATTGGAGCTGCTAGTGTCCTCTAGTCTGTGATGCACTTTAAAAAATAGAATTAATAGAAATAGTTTTACAATTTCATATAGTTAGAGTTGGTTTTTTAGCTTTTGCTGTTTTTAGTGTAATTTAGTGCATAGAAGTCTCAGAAGGGTAGCTGCGTTAGTTTGTAACTTTAAAAATAAGTAGTCCTGTAGCATCTTGGAGACTAACAAAAATATATATAGTATCATGAGCTTTGGTTTTGCCCATGAAAGCTCCTGATGATATATAAGTGTGTGTGTGTGTGTGTGTGTGTATATATATATATATATAATTTGTTAGTCTCTAAGGTACCACAGGACTACTCATTGTTTTTTAGTATGTAGTAGTCATTTTTAGGAGATAAGATACTTTGGGGAATCTGCTTACCAGTGCTGCTTCTACCCCTGTCTCTCATGGCTGGGCTACTCATCAGATATATTCTCTCACGTCAGTGATCTAAATCTAAGACTTCAAGGGCTGAATGCAGCTATCTTCAGTGTCCAGGACAAAACTGAGTGTATGATTTAAAAAAAAAAAATCTAGAATTCTGGGTTTGCTATATGGAGGAGAAAACAGAAATTTTCCCAGACATGCATGAATTCCTGACAACAAATGAGCTATAGTTGTGGGAGTGTTACAGATTATATAAATTACCTGAGTACTTTCCCTAAATGCAAACAGATGAGTCTGCTACCCTTTCACAGATTTTTCTGCAGTACCTATGCCACAAGACGGGTCAACATAAGAACAAGAGAATTTCCTGAATGTCTCAGCTGGTGGCAGACTCAGGACCATGTACCAACAAAAGTAGTTGGCTAGGGTTTAGACCCAAACGCAAGTAGAGTTCCTCAAATTGTTGGACAGAGCTGTTAAGGTTCTGATGCCTTGTGCTCCAACTTATCTGTGCAAAAGTAGATTTGTCATCACTCACTGCAAGAAATGGGCTGTGCCAATGAAAGCTCATGTTACCATCTACATGTTTTGTTAGTCTATAAAGTGCTACCAGACTATTGGTTGTGGAATAAAATTGGCACTTTTGTGTAGAAAACAACTTAGGACCTAGACTGAAGTACAGGCAGTCCCCGACTTACGCGGATCCGACTTATGTCGGATCTGCACTTACGAACGGAGCTTTCTCGCCCCGGAAGTCGGGGCGAGAAAGCCCCGTTCGTAAGCTGCTCCGGTGCCTCTGGTCTGCTGGAGACGGTCTCCAGCAGACCAGGGGCACCGGGCGGGTTCCCGCGCTTCTGAGGCTTTGCTCTGGCAAAGCCTCAGAAGCGCGGGAACCCGCCCGGTGCCCCTGGTCTGCTGGAGACGGTCTCCAGCAGACCAGGGGCACCGGGCGGGTTCCCGCGCTTCTGAGGCTTTGCTCTGGCAAAGCCTCAGAAGCGCGGGAACCCGCCCGGTGCCCCTGGTCTGCTGGAGACGGTCTCCAGCAGACCAGGGGCACCGGGCGGGTTCCCGCGCTTCTGAGGCTTTGCTCTGGCAAAGCCTCAGAAGCGCGGGAACCCGCCCGGTGCCCCTGGTCTGCTGGAGACGGTCTCCAGCAGACCAGGGGCACCGGGCGGGTTCCCGCGCTTCTGAGGCTTTGCTCTGGCAAAGCCTCAGAAGCGCGGGAACCCGCCCGGTGCCCCTGGTCTGCTGGAGACGGTCTCCAGCAGACCAGGGGCACCGGGCGGGTTCCCGCGCTTCTGAGGCTTTGCTCTGGCAAAGCCTCAGAAGCGCGGGAACCCGCCCGGTGCCCCTGGTCTGCTGGAGACGGTCTCCAGCAGACCAGGGGCACCGGGCGGGTTCCCGCGCTTCTGAGGCTTTGCTCTGGCAAAGCCTCAGAAGCGCGGGAACCCGCCCGGTGCCCCTGGTCTGCTGGAGACGGTCTCCAGCAGACCAGGGGCACCGGGCGGGTTCCCGCGCTTCTGAGGCTTTGCTCTGGCAAAGCCTCAGAAGCGCGGGAACCCGCCCGGTGCCCCTGGTCTGCTGGAGACGGTCTCCAGCAGACCAGGGGCACCGGGCGGGTTCCCGCGCTTCTGAGGCTTTGCTCTGGCAAAGCCTCAGAAGCGCGGGAACCCGCCCGGTGCCCCTGGTCTGCTGGAGACGGTCTCCAGCAGACCAGAGGCACCGGAGCAGCTTACGAACGGGGCTTTCTCGCCCCGACTTCCGGGGCGAGAAAGCTCCGTTCGT